ATTTCTATCCTGCAAGGGGGGAAAAAAACAAAGCTTATTTGACTTCCCCAACCCCCTTCTAAAAATGTGCCTTTGTGAAGTTATTTGATTTAGTGATGATTGGAACATAATGGCTCCTTAATACACGGGCTTGAAATCTTTTACCTTCATATTTTCAATCCTCAGACATCCTTGGGTTTGTCTTCCTTTGCGCAAACATTTTTAATGCTGCACTGGGAGAGAAGTTGATGAGATGCCGCACATATACTAAAATAAGCAAATTGCAGAGAAAGCCGACTACAGGACACCACCGGCCCCAACTTTAAAGGCTGAGATCAAAGCTGCATTCTGACGTAACTCTACCTGGGTTTTGATATATCAAAAGGGAGGCTGTGAGAAGAGGGCCCTCTTCCCTTGGTCAGCTCGCCACACCCTTTTAAAAGCTTCTGTACAGTAGTTTATAATTACAAATTCCAACAGGGGCAGAAATGAGGTAGCACTGTGAGCTAATACCGCCTCGTCCACAAAAGATCTGTCAGCAACTGATGCAAAAAAAAGTCTAGCCAAAAATCTTTTTTTCCCCTTTCTTCTGAATTTAACAATAAGGAATTTAAGCCTCAGTGTGGCTTTAGCAACCAAAGAAAAGAAGCTCTTGGTGTCTGCATAATACCACTTTGATGGATTTTTTTTCATCAGTTCTCTGTACGTGGCAACAAATAAACAAGTATAATTATACTTGTGAAGGTCTATTCATTGCTTTGTCAGGATTAGATATATGTGCCGTTTTCACACTGCACCTCTCTTTTGTCTTTGCCTAACTCACTATGACATATTGATAGAGGATTTGGAATGGGGAAAAGGCCACAGCACAGACAGTGATGACCTTTGGAAACTTGATATAATTCAAGGATTTTAATTCAAGGATTTTTATTTATTTTCTTTTTTATTTTTTTTAGGATTTGTAACTTGTTACCAAATTCTCTTATAAGTGGCCAACTTTTAACCTATTTAAAGTGGAGTCAATAAAGACTCGGTGTTAGGAGAGGGCTAAAGAGCAGATGAGAGTAAAAACAATAGGCAGAGGGGCACCCTTGTCTTTTTTCCCAGCACTTTGCAGAGTGGCCAACCTAGCATTCCTTTCCCATTATTCTGTCCCCTCCATCAGATCACGTGCTTTTTAATCATTTCACATGAACGCGGACCGGAGAGGAGGGCTGGGACAATCTCAATTAAAAAACAGAGGTAAAACTGGCCTCTCTGATTTTGGGTTCTAATGGGAACTGTGCTTTCTGAATGCAGAGGAATTCTTCTATTGTTCAGAAAGCACCCCTTTCATTAGCCGGCTCCTTGTAGGTGGGTTTGGTCATTTGGCAGAGCACAGCTCAGGCAGCAAGGCGAAAGCAAGGCAGGGCCAGCAGTAAAAGTCCTTTTCTGCATGTTGTTCATTAGGTCCGAGAAAGGGATTTACATGATCAAAGTCACTGATCTTGTGAATTACTGAGAATACCCCCAAAATGTGTACACGTATTCTAAGCAGACCAGCAGGTACGTACTGTTCTGAATTTAGCATTGAAATTGTCTTAGGTTTTTTTCCTTTGGGATTTCTTGAAGACTTTGGTGATTTTTAAAGATAAGATGTTTGGCAATAGAGAATAGAAATTGGTGGAGACCAAACAGAAACCGGCTTAAATGGTGAAGTAACTTTTGTAGTGAGTTTACTTGTTACACAGTCATTTTGGAATGAATCCTGTGGTTTGAGTTAAATGTCTGTCTTTGTGGTCTTTTTACTGGGACTTATAAAAGTTTAGTGTAAATTTCCTAAAGGGGTCACGTTGATAAAAGAAGATCTTCTGTGACATTGATGACAGTGAAGTCACTTAGCATGATATTTAATCTGTACAATATATGTTCATATTGATCTAACTAACTTATTAACTGCACAAACGAAAGTGATTCCATCAAAATATACTGGTAAACATCACCATGGTCATAGTCCATAGCTACGAATTAAAAAATCAGCTAATACATTACCATCAATTCAGATAGGTTTGTCATTGTTGCTTTTGGAATGAAATGTAAATTTGATTGTATAGAAGACATGTATTTGATGTAGCTTCTGATTAATGTGTACCTCATTGAGAAGAAATTAATAGGCAATTTGGTGTAAAATTATGTGGGAATATTGTAACAAAATATATCCTACCATTTTGCTTTGACCTGTGATGGATTCTTTGGTGTAGTTTTCGTAATTTTTTTTTCACATGGCGACAGTGTTGTCACATTTTTGGAAGTTACTTCTGGTAAAATGAGCAGATAGGTTCCAGTGCTTATAGAGAAGTCCTGAGAGGCTATCTTACAGAGTCCTTTGGCATCTGGCGAATATTATTACCTGCATATTACAGACACCTATTCGAGGTGTATTCAGCATGAGTGTAATAATTCCAGCAGGTGTTTTTGTGGGCTGAGAACTGTTGTAGGGGTATAAGCAAAACAGAATTTAAGTAATAATAAGAGCTCAGAA